GCGTCGGCAGGGAGGTGCCATTCTGGGGACAAGTTGCCATGCTCTGTCCCCCCCACCTTGCTCCATTGAAGCTGGAGCTGAGCCCCCAGCCTGGGAACCCTCCCTCAGCCCAGGCTCCAGCTCTGGCAGCACAGTGTGCTCCAGCACAGCCCTGCTCTGCCTGCAGATTGGCTGCCTCCTCCTTGCTTTCCCCAGCGACAGCAAAACCTGCTCAGAATAATTTGATGGAAAATCCTCCCCTCACCCAGCAAGGGAACAAGGAAGATGCTGCAGCTGCTGGAATCCCTCCCTGCCTCCCTGGTGGGTACCTGGAGGTGACAAGGGGACTCTCTGAGATCCTTAACCCAGCAGATGTCTTGCAAACCCCATTTGCTGTGAATGTTTCCCCTGGTTTGTTTGCAGTGAGAACCAGAGCTGATAGCAAACAGCTGAGAGCACGGAGATTTTATCTGGTAGCATGTGAGACTGGAAGAAAATGTCAGGGGTGGCTGGGGTGGGGTTTTTTTGGCTGCTGCCCTGCTTTCAGGCTTTCTCAGTGAGATGAGACAGGGGGGTTTTAAAGGGCCAAGGCTCGAGCCTACTGACATCTCCAGAGTGCCTTTAGTGAGACAACAACATGTCCCTAGAAGTCTTCATCTAGACACCCGTGATTGCTCATGCTAAATGAGGACAGGAAGATGAATCAGGCTCCTTTTGTGCCTGAGCACTGGCCCTTCTCACAGGCATGCTGAGGACCTCTGTGCCTACAACCCTTTTTTCCCTTTTAGAAGCTGCAGATGTTCAGCACCTGCAGAAAAGGAGATGTTTGGTTTTCTCCCCCCAACCCATTTTTAGGGTTGCATTTTGTGCTGATGCATAAAAGAGTTGCTGGCATTTAGAAAGCCTCTTTCTTCTTCCAGTGTCTCAACAATTTCTTTTTTCCTTTCCCATTTTAGAACTTCTCAAAGGCTCTAGGAACCTGTGAAGCACTGAGGGACAGGCCTGAGCTTTGCACCTCTTGGGCCTTTAAGGCCAGAAGAGATGGTGACGTTCATCCAAGTCCCTTAATCCCACAGCACCGACACTGGTCCCAGCACGTTGGTTTCCATTTTCATCTGCCTGAGCCATGGCAATTGATGTGAGTTTGTTCTGTGTGTGCAGGGGTCACTGCACACAGAGACACAGAAAGATCAGGTGGCTTTGAATGTAATTTTAAAGTGTTTATAGGACCGTAGTGCTGGCTTGATGACCCTGAAGCCCCAACGTCCCCTGACAGCAAACACCAAGCAAAGCTGAATTTCATCGATGTTATTGTGCAGTGGCCTCAAGAAATGACCTTTATAAGAGCAATTTTCAATTACTGATGTGCAGTCCCAATGAAGGGGGGTTCTGGGAGCCCCTTTTTAAGGGACTGGTGAAAAATAGCCAAGAAGAAATAAGTTCCTGCAGCTCATATAGCAACCTATACCTCTGAGTCCTCTACAGAGGTCTGCAGCTTTATCTGAGCCCACACTGCAAGAGGTTGGACACCAAGGGATGTCCCAGCTGTTCCAGCCTCATTTTTATGGCAGAAATCAAGAGATGAGGAGGGAGAGCTGATCATTTTCAGGCTGCCTTTTTGCAAGACCTGCATCCCATCCTGCTCCTGCGAGCGCTGCCAGAGGTGTGCTTGCTTCTCAAGCTGGGGCTGGCACTCCAGCACAGAGCCAACCCACCGGGCTCACTGATGGGTGTGTGTGGAGCTGGTTTAAGGCAGATTATTTTTAAAGCAAGCTGACCTGTGAGAGTGACCTCAGCTCACTGCAGGGATACTCCAGGTAGGGCAGAAACAGCCCTTTCGGCTGAGAGCATCCTTTCCCTTCCTGGGCAGGCACCTTTCTGCAAAAGCCCAGCTGCCTGGGAGAGGAGAAATGCCCTTTCCAGAGAGCAGCCTCACAGATGGCAGAGCTGCAGCTCCCTGGGAAGCCGGCTGGCAGGCAGGCTGCAGCAGCGTGGGCACACACACGTGAGCACACACACGTGTGCACACACAGGCGTGCGAGCACACGCGTGCGCACAGCCGGCCCGGGAGCTGTGCACGCTGGCAGTGAGCTGCTGGCAGTGGGAAGGGATGGGGTGTTGGGGTGTGTCAGGCCAGCTTGAGAAACAGGACTGTGGGGAAGTTGGGGAGCCTTCATTCTGAGTGAAAAGGTCTGGAGCGTGAGCAGGATGCAGAGGGGTTTTGCAGGACTAAGCATGAGAGCTCCCCGTGTCACTGAGGGTGCAGAGAATGAGGTGGATGTGGGATAAATCCTTCCCCCTCAGCCCTCCCTTCCCTTTCCTCAGGGACTCACTAAGCTTGCCAAAGTTTGCAATGCTTTCAGATCCTTGATGGCAGCTGCAGGCAAGGTCACAGTGTCAGGCAGGAGGTTGAACACAAATCACTGCACCTCCCATTCCTCTCCTCCTGCCCCTGCCTGATGACCCTCCTCCCTGCCAGGCCACATGGAATGAAACCCTGTGAGCACAGTGCACTTCTTGCTAGAACAAATTGTTGCTGGCATTGTAGGTTATTTAAATCCACATATTATCTCTTCCTCTGTATTACATTAGCTTCCTCCCAAACCTTCGCCATCTGTTCCACCCTCGGTTATGAATGTGAGAAAACTGAACATGCTGCTTCACAGCTACAGCACTTAAAAAGTATGATGTGCATCCTAATGGCTTCTCTGTGTGCCTTTCCAGGCAGGCTGTGCCCCTTCCTTATTGCCCAGGATTCAGCCCAAATGGCCATTAATGTCCCATGGCATCAGGGGCTCTTTGCCTGCCCCCAGCGCTGCCGGCCGAGCTGGGCAGGAGGTCCATGTGTGATGGTTCTGGAGTGCAGGCTGAGCTCTGCCTGCCCCCAGCTTGGGCTGGGTGGGGAGAGACACCAGGATGGCTTCTGCCAGTGATCTCCCCGAGGAGAAATGATGGTTTCATTCCTCCTCTGGGACCTATGTCTCCCTCCACCACGTGAGGTCACGCTGTCAAAGGTGCTGGAGCATCTGTGAGTCCCACAGACCTCAATGGGGTCGATGTCTGTGCAATTACTGCTGCTGCTTTTCCCCTCTCTTGGGTTCCTATCACTGCCTGTCATTTCCCTCGTGCTTCACAGGCACCTGCTCCAGCAGGTACGACAGCCCAGTCTGGACTCAGTGCCTGCTTCTTTGCTCAGCAGGGTGTGCTCAGGACTGGCTTCCCTTGGAGCTCTCTTTTCTTTCCTGGACAGGCAAGATGTGTCCTGCAGTGCAGGCCACCAGCAGACACACCGTGTTCAGCTCCTCTCAAACGCTGTGTGGGTGCCCTCCAGCCTGTGCTGGAGCTCACACCATGAACAGGAAGCCAGAAAGCTACAGGGCTGCATGTGGGGGTGATTCCTCCACAGCCACAGCAGGGAAACCGTGGCAGATCTGGAGGTTAGTCCTTCCTGCACCCTGGCTGCTTTGGGACTGTGGATGTCCCTGCTACCTCCTCTTTCCCACCTGCTCATTCCCACCCTTTGGAGCAGGTGCCAACACGGTTGCTCTGCTGGCCAAGCTGTCAGCAGGCTGGAGGAGCAGGGATGCTGGAGCTGTGGCAATGGAGACCATACCTTACAGACCACGATGCCTCTAGCCCAAACTTTCAGTGTGACTCACAAATGTAGTTTCAGTTTCATGATCCCTGTCTCCCAAACGACCAAACCTCAATCTTCTGCTACCCTGATGGGAAAATTTAGCTCCTTTCTTCTGCCAGAGCCTGAAATGTCACCACCCAAGAGTTACGGATTTTTTTATTTCTCCTGTGTAGACCTGGGCTGGGCTGTGGGACATCCAGCAGCACCAAACCCTCCATGTGTGTCACACTGACTTGACATGGGGCGATTTGGAGCAGTGATGGCTTCCCCAGTGACCCTCTCACCTCATCAGGGACCCTCTCACCTCATCAGGGACCCTCTCACCTCTCCCAGCAACACTGAACCAACAGGGAGAACAGGTGAGGAAGCTTCTCTCAGAGGTAAGTCTAGGGATCAGGCTGGGAAGGACCTGAAAATCACACAGCTCCCCCTTCTCCCAAGGCAGTTACATCTGACCTGCAGATATCCAACCAGATCTTAGCCCTGCTCTTCCCTTTCAGCCACCACGGCCTCTCTCCCCAGATAACTGGTGATGGCTCAGAGTGACCACTGCCTCTGGTGCTGGAATGTGAGCTCATTAATTCTGTTCATCAAGAACAGATGATTCCCTTCCACTTTGCAGCAGCTGCTTTATGTGTCTGAAGATCACTCTGTCTCCTCCTCTCCAGCCTGAACCCCTCCAGATCTTCCCAGCTGCCAGTTGTTAATGCCCAACATGTCCTTGTCCCTCCTGATACAAGGAGCCCAGTACTGGAAGTCTCACAAGGGGTTTTCCTCCAAGTCCCACAAGCTGTGCTCCTGCTCCATGACCTCCACCTGTTCCTCCACCTGGGCCAGATCTCCAGTAGAGCATGGTGACAAGGCCACTGCTTCACCAGGCAGTGCCATCACATCATGGCAGTGACAGAGCCACTGCAGCCTGACACAAGTCCCAACTACCAGAATTTAAGCCCTGATGTTGCAACAGGGTTCCACCACGCTCTCAGGCCAGCATGAAGTTCTGTTGCCATGAGCTACAAGGAAGCATCACCAGCACCTTGCCTACTCCTGCAGCTTTTCCACCAGCTCCAAAGCTCAGCAATAACATAGTTTTATTGCTGGCCCCAGGGCTTGGTTGCAAAATGAACTCAAACTTAGTGCTCACATCCTCCAGTGAAAAACCTGCAGTTCCCACCAAGAGCCTGCAGAGAAAACCCCACGCCAACTTCCAGCACATGCTCTGATGCGGGATGGGAGAAGGGGAGGATTCAAGGCACAAGCCCAGGGTAGGTTGGGGTTCAGCTCTGCCAGCAGAGTGACCTCCCTTTCTGCTCCAGCACAGCTCCACACCAGGTCTGCACTGGGCTTCTCGGCCAGATCTCAACACACAACGTAGCCAACTCACCGTACTGGATTTGAGCGCATCCCCACTGTCCTCTTCAGATTCTAGTGCAACAGGTAAAGATTTCTGTGGTGGGGAGAAGGTTAAGTCCCACCTTAGTAGCCGAGGTTCAGCTTTGTCCCCAAATCTCAGGTTTTCCAGTTTCTGCACTGTGGGCTCAGCAGAGGAAGCTGGCCTGAAATTCTCTTTGTTCTGGGACTTAGACCTCAGTCTCTGAACCCCGAAGCCCCGATCTTCCCCACGGTGGTCATCAGCCATGCTCCTGCAGGGTCCTCCTTTGCTATAGTGTCTTTTTTGGGTGTGAACCTCTTGCATATAAGAATCCATCCTCATGAGGGGCTTCATCTCCATCTCATAATTGCTCATTTTCTCCTCATCCAGCTCAAGCAGTTTGGAGCTCCCTGAGCTGTGGTTGTGGGACCTGTGGTGGGAAGTCCATGAAACCGTGGCTGGGGAATCTGTCCACCTCTCTCTTTGCTTGTGGTTGGAGGCCGAATGTTTGTGTCCTCCGCTCCTACCTCTGTAGTCTTCAGGGACAGAGGCCGACCCGAGCTGACCGCTGCGCAGGGTCCCGCTTCTCACGCCGCGCGTCCCGCCGACCTTCTCTTCGCCCCAGCTGTTGGGGCGCAGGTAATCCCCACCACGCCCCTCCAGCAACATCTGGATCTCCCCACCCCTCTCTTCGTCCACCGAGACCTGCCTGGAGAAGTGGGCACTCTTGTTCCTGCAGGAAGGACCCAGGGGAGGCGTGGAGGAGGGACTGGCAGGGAAGCTCTGCAAGGGGCTGTCGTCTGGAGTCAGGTCGGACGGGGTGGTCCCTTTGCGGTACAGCTCGGGGCTCTCCTGTTGGAGGGGTGTCCCAGTGGAGAGGACCTCAATGTCATCACTCGAGTTCTGGCGCTTCGGTCTCTGGCATTCGAGCCCTTTTTGTGGAGTCGTTAGGAGAAAAGAGAGAGGGAGAGAGAAAGGCAACAGGATTATTTCTATTCTGTGGGACCCCACCAGGTTTTTCGTCTCAAAGGGAAGGGCTGAGAAAGTTGGACAGCAGGGAGAATGCAAGGCAGGACCAGGGCAGCAGCAGCAGGACACGATCAGCAGCTTTTTGCTGCTAGACGAAGAGAAAAGGCATCGTTGGTTTTACACCAAGGCAGCACCTGCAGAGCAGCACCAGTTGCCAAGACAGAGGCGTTCTGCACCAAGGGTGTGTTTCTCCACTGCTGGGAACCCCAGGGCTACCAACCCTTTTAGAAACCACCTGGCACCACCGTGGCTCTTGGAGGACCCATCCAACCACCTTATTCTACCAGCTCCAAACCCAGTTTGTGGGCAGGAGAGGGGAAATCAGATGGGGCCAGTGGCAGCACCTGGCTCAGCCTGTGCCCTGCACTGCACCCCAGACAATGTCTTCCTGGGAACAGGGACTTGGGGACAGGGACTTCAAGAGTAGTTGAGTGTCTTCTGCTGGAGGTAACCAGCTGGCAAGAGACATGACACTTCTCCCAACAGTTAGAAAAACCTGCCACTTATTAATAACTGATGAAACACCAAATGATTTCACGGAGGTGCAAGCTAGTAGTGGTTAATTCTAATTTTGCCCTCTCAAGTCAGAGCTGCTCCCAGCTCAAGCCATGCTAAATTGTGTGAATAATTTGATAAATGTATTAACTGCCTAATGCCCCTGAAATGCATCTAATTGCAATTGCTATGGCTAGACAAGAAACGAGTCTCAGAAAGGAGGAACTCAGCTTCTCACCATGATTCAAAAAGAAATGCTCTGAAGCTCCTGCTTCAGTCTCTTCACTTCTGCTGAGTAATTTTCTCTCTCACAGCTTCTTGAGGAGCTGCTGCGACCAGGACATGCCTTTACCCCCAGCCATCCCCACGTCCCACCACACTGTGGGCTGGATACACATGGGATGCTGGGAGCATGGGGATGGATGTCCCCATCAAAGCACTTGCAGGGGAGGTAAAAAGTCACAAGGCTGCTTGAAAATTCCCTACAGAGCAATTTCTTGATGGGAAATTGGTTTTCTAGTGATTGTCATTTATTTTTTTTTAATTATTATTATTTGCCATGGAAAATCTGTTTGTGTTTTGGGACAATATTCAGATGGTTCAGTTTCAGTTTGTTCCTGTGCCTCTGTTTGTCTGTGGGAAACTGAACCTCCTGGGATTTGTCTGGGGCTCCTGAGCAATCCTTGTACTGGGGAACTGTGGTGCAGGAGAAAGGTGGGATCCACCCTCTGCGCTTTCACACAGAAGAACTGTCTCTGGGGAAAAACACAGACTGGTTTTTGTGACTGTTGTTGAGATGTTCCCATTCCAGCCACCATCACAGATAGGAAACTGAGGCAAGGAGGGAATGAATGGCTTCCTATGAGAAAGCTGTGAAACCAGCTACCACAATGGGCTCACCCAAGACTTTGGGTGGAGCTGGTCAGCTCAGGCTGGAGGCGCAGGGACTTGAAAGCTCTGAAGACCCCAAAGCCAATCTCCAATGGCACAACCAGCCACAGCCTGGCTAAATCTACTCCTCCAGTACCCTCACTTCAACTCCAATCCTCCCCAGCCCTCCAAGCCCCCCAGTGGAGACAAGAAAGCCCAAGGATGCTCCACCATCCTCACCCCGGAGACCCACACCAGAGACCACATCACCCACCGCCTGCTTGGCCTCAACTTTTCTCTCCCAGACCTGGAACAAGCTGAGCTAATTCCTCCTCTCCGTGGGTGAACCCCCTGAGTTTTGCAGCCCCTGGCTGGAGCTCCTGGACAAGCAGGGGCACAGCCACCCCTCCAGCCCCACAGCCTGGCCAGGACGCAGGCGTTTCCCTGCGGAGAAACTCGACAGCTGCGCGGGGCGGCTTCCGACACGCCAGGATGTGCAACAATTATTCTGAGCTAAAATTAGTGGCAGAGCACGTGATGTTCCTGGAAGAACGGTTGCGAGAGCACCAAGGAGGATGCAGAGGACCAGATCTGGATTTCCAGCAGGACTGAGGCAGCTGTGCCCGGCTGTGGTGTCTTCAAAGCCAAGCACGTGTCCCCAGGCACTGGGCTGACCCTGAGGATCCATGCAGGAGATGCAGGAGGAGTGCTGAGCTTCTGCCTCTGCCACCAAGGTGCTGCCATCACCTCACGGGAGTCACTTTGCTCTCCAGTCCAGCTGACCCTGCTGCCAGCCATGGCCTGGGGCTCCTGGGTTTGCTGGAGCTGGAGCTGGTGGCTGCTGGTCTGGAGGTTGTGTCTGCTCAAAGAAGAGCTGAGCTGGGGGCTGCTCCAGGTCAGGAGGCCTGCCAGGCTGACACAGGTGGGCAGGAAACCCATTGTGAGGCTGGCAAGGTGGGGGGCACAGAGCACGAATGATGCTGTGCAAGGGGGGCACATCCAGCACCCATGATGCTGAGGAAGAGGAGCACATCCAGCACCCGTGATGCTGAGGAAGAGGAGCACATCCAGCACCCATGATGCTGAGGAAGAGGAGCACATCCAGCACCCGTGATGCTGAGGAAGAGAAGCACATTCAGCACCCATGATGCTGAGGAAGAGGAGCACATCCAGCACTCGTGATGCTGAGGAAGAGGAGCACATCCAGCACCCATGATGCTGAGGAAGAGGAGCACATCCAGCACCCGTGATGCTGAGGAAGAGGAGCACATCCAGCACCCGTGATGCTGAGGAAGAGGAGCACATCCAGCACCCGTGATGCTGAGGAAGAGGAGCACATCCAGCACCCGTGATGCTGAGGAAGAGGAGCACATCCAGCACCCGTGATGCTGAGGAAGAGGAGCACATCCAGCACCCGTGATGCTGAGGAAGAGGAGCATATTCAACATCAGCAGCCTAGGGTTACAGGGTCTGTGGGGTGGCACAGCTGCTCACAGCTATTATCCGCCTGACTCGGTCCACGGTTTCCCAACATGTCTGGGATGGTGTGTTTGTTTTTTAATGTGCTCTAAGTGGAAACTCCTTCCCTGCTCTTCACTCACACACAACCCACCCAGACGTGAGCACCACAAACACAAGCCCCAACACAAGTCAAGCACCACGTCCCCGCCTAGAAGCTAGTAAAAAATGTATTACCTAAAAATATCTTTTCAAGAGGTGATTTAAAACAGCAAAAAGTCTCTTGGCAAGTGGAAATGGAGATGAGGAATATCTCAGGGCTGAAGAAGCCCCTGGGACTGCACAGCTGTGTGAAAAAGATCAGATCTCTGAGGTACCAATTGGACCTCTGCAGGAGGAGAAATGCTGAGGGGCGTTGGAAGAGGCTTGACCTTCTCCCAGCCAGCAGGGAGATGCTCTGGGCTCAGCCCCCCGAAATGCCCACCCACACCTGGCCGTGTCTCCGGGGGGGCTTTGCTGCAGCCTCCTCTTCCCCCCCACCCAGCTCCAGCAGGTTCATGGCTGGAGTTGGACCTCAGAGCCCGTCTGGCTGGGGCTGCTGAGCCCTGGGCTGCCCCTGCAGCCGCCGCGCTGTGGTGAAGTGAGGACTCAGCACAGGCTGCTCGGTCCAAAGGATGAGATGATCCCTTTTCCCCGGGCTCAGGGCTCTGGGAAGGGCCCCGCCGGGGTGAGTCACCAGCACCAGCTCCTGGAGCAATTAAGCTGAATGAGTAATCTTCATTTAGAGAGCTGGAAAGGGGAGAAACTAATCATAGAGGCCTCCTAATGAGGGCTTGGTGCAGGAAAACTTATGAATAAAACCACTCACCTATATTAATTGCTATGTTAATTATTGCTGTGGGGACTTGGAGCTTTACACTCCCACTCAGGGCAGCCCCTCTTGCTCCCAGGCAGGTGCAGCTTTCGTGGGGTGAATCCTCCCCATGTGCCCACTGGCTGCAGACCACTGCTCGACCACAGCTGCCATAGAATCATGGAATGGTTTGGGTTGGAAGGGACCTTAAAGATCATCTAGTTCAAACCTGAAGGTTTCTCTGGGGCTTCCTCCTCCCTGTGCCTTTGCTGAGCCCAAGCCTCTTGTCAACAAGCAAAAATTTGGACAAACCAGCAATAAACACCAAAGATCACAGAATCATGGAATTGGGTGCTTTGGAAGGGACCTTGAAGACCATCCAGTCCCAACCCCCCTGCATGGGCAGGGACACCTCCCACCAGCACAGGTTGCTCCAAGCCCCATCCAACCTGCCCTTCAACACTGCCAGGGATGGGGCAGCCACAGCTTCCCTGGACAACCTGAGCCAGTATCTCTAATATCCCAGTAAACAACAGAACCATACAGGGTGGAAGTGTGGAATATTGAAAACCTTGTGCTAAAACCTCCAGACACTGGTGTCAATGGCTCATTTCCCACCCCAAGAGTCCCAGTGAGGACCGGGAGCTGTGGGCACAGACTGAGCCCCTGCACAGGGTCAGTTTTGGGGCTTTTGGGTCTGAGCAGGGCAGAGTGCAGGGAGCAGGGTGGGGTGAAAGGGGTGTCCGTGGGGCATGGCAGCAGGGAGCAGGGCAGCAGGGAGCAGGGCAGCAGGGAGAAGGGCAGAAGGGCAGCAGGGAGCAGGGCAGCAGGGAGAAGGGAGCAGGGCAGCAGGGAGCAGGGCAGCAGGGAGCAGGGCAGGAGGGCAGCAGGGAGAAGGGAGCAGGGCAGCAGGGAGCAGGGCAGCAGGGAGCAGGGAGCAGGGCAGCAGGGCAGCAAGTAGCAGGGCAGCAGGGAGCAGGGCAGCAGGGAGCAGGGCAGGAGGGCAGCAGGGAGCAGGGCAGCGAGGAGCAGGGCAGCAGGGAGAAGGGAGCAGGGCAGCAGGGAGCAGGGAGGAGGGCAGCAGGGAGCAGGGCAGCAGGGAGCAGGGCAGCAGGGCAGCAGGGACCAGGGAGCAGGGAGCAGGGCACCACGCACTGACCGTTTTCTCTGTGCTGGAAGGAAGGCGAAAACTCTTTGGCAGTGATCCTGGCGATCCGCGCTTCCTCCTGAGCTTTCTGAGCCGCCGTCACAGCCGCCTCTGCCTTGGCCCTGGAGTGAGAGGTCCTGCAAGGCAACCGGAGAGACAAGGACCACGTTAGGGCAGCAGAACCAGGTATGGAGAGGCCCACATTGCCCCCACAAAAAGCCCCTTTGCTCCCACCGCCTTCGGCTGCGACGGAGGATCTGGGGCTCCTTGGGGAAGGAGGGGATGTCACATGGATAACATGTTCATGAACTGCTCCTCAGCCTGCAGGCTGCCCAGGCAGTTTGGAAACAGGGACAGGATGCTTTGTTCCCCTAGGATGCATCACCTTTATTTATATTTTTTTCTGCTACTCTCTGAATTCCCTTTGATTTTCCAACATCTGCTTGGCGAGGAGATTCATTCCTGACAGGCTCCTATAAATGGAAAATGGCTCAGAACGTGCCCAGTGTTGCCTCGTGTGCCACAAACTGGGGATGCAAACCAGGGGGGTGTGTCTGGGCACTGTCACCTCTTTGAGCCCAGGTGAGATGCCTGGTCCCTGCTCCCAGAGCCGACCTGTCACTTGTTTTCAAGTGTTGACAAGTTGTCTTTGCTCTAGTAAGTGGTTTATTTGTATAAATGGAGTTGCTGAGAGAGGGAATGTGACCTACTCTTCCCAAGCTACTGAAAGTGGTGGAGGGGTGCAGGGATGTTGCTGCAGGTTCCCCACGACTGATACAACCAAAAATGGGGTTTAAGTATTTTTTTCCCTCCCCAGGGCTCACTGTGCTCCACACTCATGCAGGGCTGGAGGAGTGGGCAGGCACGTTTCAGCCTCTTCCCCTGGAAGATATCCCAGCTCTTCTAGGAGGAACAAGGATGCTCCGAGCAGGAGCTGCAGCAAACTGCTCCTGTTTATGGCACAAAGGTGGTGGGTGGGAAAGACTGGAGCACTCAACCCATTGATGAAAAACACCCCAGGGCCAAGCATGGTTCCATTTGAGGGTTAGAACTAAGATGCTGATTCTATAAGGTGGCTAAAACAGCTGCATGGGGAGCTTCCCCGTGGTCTGGATGTCAGCTCCTGAAGAACCTCCATCCATCTATCCCTCTGCCATATCCTCACACTGGAACCTGTTCAGGGAAGGGACTGTCCCTCCTGTTCTGCAGCACGTTCATAGGCTGCTGCTGGTCCCTGCTGACCTGCTGCAAAGGATTAATCATGTCTGGTGCTGTCTGGACCAAACGCAGCCGGCAGGATTACAGGCTGCCTTCCTAAACTCCTCCCTGGAGATGTGACTGCAGGCATGTCATGCCGTGGCAGTTATCTGCCACTTCTTGCCAGGGAAGGGGCCTGGAAGCACTGAAAAGCAGCTTGTGCCACTTCCACATGTCCTGGGGACACATGGAGGTGTCTGCAGAACAGGACGCTTTGCTGGAAGAGCATGTGGGGAGTCCCCACCCAAGCCATCCTCCCCTCTCCACCATTCACCACATCCCATTTTTTTCACCAAAGTGGGTCAAAATCCCCACCTCTGGAGGACGGATGGATTTCTAGCCCTGGAAAACTCACTCCAGCAACTTCTAGACCAGTCCATCCCCGTGGACTCCAGGAACAGTCCAGGATGAGCAGCAACTAGGGGCTTTGGCCCAGAAAGAGTGAAAGATCAATCCCATCAATCCAGCCATCTCCCATCTTAAATATCCTCCAGACCCACTAAGCAGACCTGAGCACTGTGCAGAGCCACAGGAAGGCTTAATTGTTTGTAATTCTCTCTAAGATGCCTGGAGAGAGGCACCATGGAGTGAAAAGCAGAATTATGGTGATCTATACGTTGTGTAATAAAGTACAGAAGTATTCCCAAGTAAAGGCAAGTAATCCAGTTAGTGTTCACATGACTTTGTCACAGACTGAATTTAACAGCTGTCTCCTTTAGACGTGCCTGCTGCTTGTAGCCTGTGCTGTCCTTAATTCCCAAGTTAATTGCTGGAGTTTATTTCCTTGTAAAGCAGGTCTTTCTCCATGACACATAGACAGGGCCTGATCTAATCACTCTTCTCCTCCTGCTGGAAGCACTGCCATAAATCTTTCCTGGACAGACACACCATCCTGGAAACTACAGTCAAAATCCTTACAGATCCATAACAGCTGGAGAAGGAGGCTGGGGATGCTGAGGGATGGAAGGAATGAAACAGATCCTCTTGCATTGCTCCTTCATGGCATCCTCCACCCCATAATGTGCCCACTGGACAAAAGCTGCTGTTTGCAAGAGCACAGTGCCCCTCTCATCTTATCTGAGCTGATTAGAAGTTGCACATCTGCTGGAAGGTGGGTTTCCTCTGGGTTTCTTCTACCATCGACAGACAAGCAGGAGGAGGAGCAACTGATCCTGGGATGATGGAGGCAGCTGGAGCTCCCTGAACATGGGCACACACCAGCCCAGAGGGACCTCTGAGGATGATCACAACCCCTTCATCACATTTTAGTGCACTTCACCAGCCAGGCTGAACTGGGGAAACATGTTTCAGCAAGGATGGGGCTGGGAAGAGCCAGAGGGGTGATGGTGGGGATGCTTTGCAGCTCTGGAGACCCAAGGGCCCAGTTTGGGTTGGGCCAAGAAGTCTATGCTGGGACTGGCTCAGGGTATTTTATTTATTAATTTTTTGCCAAGCTGATTTACTCTTTGACCAGGCAAATGGTCAAGCTGGCAAGCAAAGCTGGCAGGAAGCAGGGAAAAACCACCAACCAAAGAGATTTCTCTGAATCTTTACAGATCTCTTGTGATTTGGCCAGGGCTGATGAGGGAAGGGCTAATACCTGGGAGTGGTTCATGATGCCAAGTTCATCAGCTCTGGCTAATCTACAAGAGGCTGGAATAAACTGATTTGCAAGGAGGAACCTGGCTTTTTAGGAATGCCAAGGGGCACTCTGGCCTGGCTTTGCACGAGCAAGGAGCCAATGAGAGGGTTTCCGCTGCACATCCTAAGCTTGGGGATGATTTAGCCCCCAAGGGGGGAGCTCCCAGCAAAACCAGTGGCACCTGATGCTTCCAGGAAGGAAAGAAACAAAACTGAAACCACGAAAGGCTTGAGTGGTGTTTAGGTGAAGGGACAGCTCTGGCAGGAGAACAAGTGGAACTAACTGCTTAAAAATTAGACTTGAAATTAGAACAAGTTTATGGGCCACCAGAAATGTTTCCTGGATGGAGACAGGTCTGTTCAGGAGCACGATGCCTGAAATTGCAGGGATGGCAGCAGGTATCCCAAGAAGTCTCATTTCTGCCTCCTTCACCTCCATCTAACTTTCTCCAAGCAGAGTGGCAGTGCAAAGGGTGAGCTGGAACCACAGCAAGGACTCACCATCCTTGTCCTTTTCTTTCCTTGCATTCCTGTATGAAAAACAGGCTCTTCTTCAATAAAAACCAGGTAGCAGACTCTGAGCAAAAGTTTATCTGAGGCCAAAGAAAATTGTGTGGTGGGGAAACCTGCATTATTCAGAGTTGAAATGTGGAAAAGTGTCATATGGGCAAGATCTCTGGAAAAGGAGGTCTGTTTTCCAAAATTCCCATGGCAGCTCTTGCAGAGATATTTCCATTCATGCAGGCAAACTCCTGGCTTCTCCAATATCCTGGTGAACTCAAAGATCCGTGAAGGGCTCCCTCCTTAGTGGGATTTAGGCTTGACAGGGAAGTAGGAAACTGCTGCTTTATTGTTGGGATCCCACTAGGAAACTGCTGCTTTATTGTTGGGATCCCACTGCATCTTCATCCCCAACCCTCCTCCATCCTACACCAAGAGCTGATGGAAACCTCTCCTGAATTCTCCAGAGTCCCAACTCCCTGACAGGAGCCCTCATGAGATTGCAACAATTCCTAAACCCTTTGCTCAGTACCAAGCTGATTTCAATAGGAATATCAGGGTTTCATCTTTTTCCTCTTGTTTTTATACCTACAAATCAACCTTCTTGCAAGGGAGCTCCAAAAAAATCAAGCTCCTGGTAAACACAAAGGGGTTTGATGTCTTCTCCCCACCTTGTTTTGCATCTGCTTAGATCAGACAGAGGGGCTGGAGTGATGGCCAGACTGATCTAACTGCCCAGAGCTTAGAAATGAAGAAAGAAAGCTGAGATCAAAAGAAAATTATTAAAAATACTATCAAAGCCTTCTTCTGTGCAGCTTTTTAAACTCCTCCAACCATATAAAGGGAGAAAGAAAACCCTACAGTCTGTGTTTTCATGGAAAACATGGAAATGTGCTGTTTTGGAGGATGGTTTCAGCTCAGCAGCCAGTGCTGCTGCCTCGTAGGGACTTGCCAGTGGTGAGGATGGAGTTAACCAGCACATTTCTACTGACCTCATCCTGGGCCATAACCAACAGCCTCAAGTTTTCCTAAGGGGCCAGGCTGGCTCCACAGGCTTCACTTTGTCTCTCAGGTCAATACGTAATCAGGCAGCTTTTGATTTTGGTTTTTATGACTTTTTTTTTTTTTCTTAAATGCATGTTTATCTTCCTTTAGGAGGAATGTTTTCTGCCTCCATTACAGAGGTTCATGTATTTTTCAAATGGCAAAATTCAATTAAAACATACTCTAGCTGCAGGAAAATACGTCCGGAGAAATTCAGAGAGAGCATTTGAGGGGTGTTGGAGACTCTTTGCTCTTCCCTCCAAACCCAGCTCTGTTGTTTTGCACTTGAAAAGCACTGGGATGCACTTGGTCCTGGGAGGGGCTGGCTGGATGAGGTCAGGAAAAGGAGTTTCTCAGTCCAACCACCCCATGTGCACAAACCAGGCTTGCAGGACTGTGAGCCCCTCAGCTCTATTGACTGGCCAGGGGTTATTTTATGCTCCCACTGGCCCAGCAGAGATGAGGATCCGGCCCTAATTGCATCCAGCTGAGGAGCACCAAGAAACACAAAGCAAAAGTCCCTGAGTGATCGATGCCAGTAACTGAAGCCCAGAACCAAGGGGAGAGGGAGAGAGCTGCTGCAACCCTCTCCCAAGGTATCCAATGGCAAAGGGGAGCCATTCCCAGCTCCTGACTGTGCCAGCCTGGGATCAATAGCTGCAGCCAGCACTGGGGAGGGATGGGGAGGTGGGAA